CCCCACCAAAAAAAAAAAGCAAACCCCCCACCCCCCCAACAAACTGACCACCCTCTCCCTCGATCATCTGATTATGTTTCACTGTTTTCATCCACTGGACCTACGTGTCCCTCCTCGAAAAACAAAACAAAACAAAACAAAACAAACGATGAGCCCACTACAAACGTAACTACAGTCGAACCTGTGTAAGACGGAATCGCAAGGGAGCCAGAAAAAAATTCCGTCTTAGACATTTTCCGTCTTCGACAGGGGAATTTAGGGGAGATGGAGGTGGGGGAGGGGGGGGGTTTCAAAGGCCCAGCCGGTGGGATCAAGTATCGCTTGTCCCATCCGCAAGCAGTGGTCAAAACTTCACACCTCTCAATTTGCTATCCTTTCTGATAATGACATGCGTCAGTCTTACTTATATAATTTACCACCAGTGCTTGCCTTTCATAGGACCACTGTTTGACCTCTCCTTTGATTTAGCCCCACCCACCAATGCCACCCCTCACTGCCATCACGTAAAACTACGATTCGAGGAACTCTTTTCTCGGCTGGCCGTACGATGAGGGCGGCAGGCATTGGTCAATCTAATATTTCACACCTCTGGCTTCTGGCTACCCAGGAAAGTTTCCGTAGTGGCTCGCTACTTGAGCACTCTCACGGGCAGTCGTGAGATTTCACACCCACACTACCCTGACCATCTGCATCGCTCAGGGCTCACATGATGGGGTCACATCTACCCCTAAATTGCACCCCTATTACCCTTCCTCGCCCAGCGGCATGGCCATAGCGTTAAGTATAGAGCCGACGGAACCAAAGTGAAAACCTCGGAAGGGAGCGGATTTTTCTTTCCGTTTTCGCGTTGGGCAGGTTTCCGTTTTATACAGGTAATTAAAGAGGGAATACACTGTATGTATATCGGGGGAGAGATTCCGTTAAGACAGGTTTCCGTTTTATATAGGTGTCCGTTTTAAGGCAGGTTCGACGTAATTTCCCAGTTGTATTTTATTCTTCATCAGGCCCTGTGGCGGGCCAAACAGTTAATCATTCATTATACATGTACATTTTGTATATGACTTCGCGGGCCTTGCTTCTGTTTATAACTCCTTGCCTGCCTGCGGGCCAAAGTTTGATGGCCCTTGTTTAGTTAAGATAAGATAAGATAAGACAAAACAAAAACTTTTATTGACGCTGGCGCAT